GTTATTCTGTACTGTTTGTGACCTTTTCTTAGAAAGTTAAGTTATATATCTGCTAATCGCATTTGCACACACCAAGTCTGCTTGCAGACAGCTCTCACCACAGTATGACTTACCTTGTCAGATATTACATACTTGTTTCCCCAGTGGACTTAACCAAAGCATGAACGATAAATTCATCAGTTCAAAGCTATCCTACAGTCGTTGCACTGCCAGCTTTTTAAGAATCCGTTTTAACTGTTTAGTTAACCATCAAACGAGTTTTTAGGATGGTTAGGTCATGATAGATGATCTAGATCTCACCAGAATGCATAAACGATAGATGGAAACTTCGTGCTTTTAGATCATAATGGGTTGAATAGCGTTTTTGTTTTATTCTTAAATAGTTTTCTTCAATCGTTCCGTTGTAACTGGTTTCTCTGTGCCTCTGGTCATATCCTTGTTCATATTGTTCAACATAGACCGTGACATACCATCTAGAACTGATCTGACTTTAAACACACATCCATCCCTGTCCATTATTAACCATTCCAGAAGTCTCAACTGTTGGTAGTTTCTTGTTTTATTCAAATTCCTAATTATTATAAATCTTGTAGAAAATTAGATCGTTGAGGGGTGATTTTCCAAACAATTTTTCCGTCTATAAACATCATACAGTATTCCTCTTACAACAGGTCACCTCTAACTTCTGACTAATGATTAGTGTAGAAATTTGATTGATTTCAAGTTTGGTCACAGATTAATATCAGTTACCGAAACCTTGGAAACCGGGAAGTACTGGACAGTTGTTTCTTCTCAGTTTGAGTCTCCTCGTCAGTATGTACCTATGTGGTGAGAGCTAGCTGCTAGCCAAAGTTAGTAGACGCTAATTGACGTCAATGTTTATGTCCTCAATATTGGTGGTGAGAAAATGAAAACAAAGGCTTTGCGTAGGCGGTTACAGTTAGCATATGGATGATCTGACACAGCCACAAAGAGATGCAAGGTTAACTTTCTGTGAGAAACAACCAATCAAAAGATTGTATTTCCCACTAACAATAAACTACAATAATGTACATTAAAATCTATAAATATGTGTTGATTTTTCTTAATAAACGATCTGTTGCCTGGCCCTTGTCTTCTGTTGTTACACCTATCATGTCACTGGGCATCGGACCAAGGTCCATTATGCTAAGTGGCGAGCTCGTTAACCAATCACCCACCTGGAAGGAATCCAATGGCCCATGAATTCTAGCTTCTATGATTTTGCGAGTTTTAGCGCGACCTCCAGCCGATGTCATTGCAAAGTATTTGTCCTCAATACCACAATGGTTTCTTTCACAAAACACATCAATATCACAGATAAAGTCTATTTTTATGTGTGTTCAGATTGCACTAATAGATCCCCCCACCGTTTACCTAACACATGGAAAAACAATTATCTGTACAGAAAATAAAAGTAGCCCCGAATAAAAAGTTGAATCAGTAGTCTACTTACAAATTGCACTGATGCATTAAAGCTATCAGTTAAGAGGGCAATGTAGTTTACTTTGTTACATGGATGTGTCTGTGTGTAAGTTTGTTTGTCTGTTCATCTGTTTCTGTCTGTCTGTCTATCAGTACGTCTACCCCCACACACACTGCACAATAACACAAATGAGGATAATCTGTGCACATAAGATCAAGTTGGATTATATTTACAGGAATATTTATTCGTTCTAAATCAGGTCAAGGTGATTGACTGAATTCACCATTTTGTTTTGGTTATACGATTAAAAAATTTTTAGAAATGGCCATATTTACAAAATTTGTAATTCATAGTTATGGTAGGTTTCATATTGATGATGTACAACTAAACAATAATCAATAAAACTTCTGAATTTAAAGTAGTCTTCCTCATGAATTGACGTCAATGAGAGAATCATGGTGTGAACCCTGACGAGTCCATGTACACATATAGAGTCTCTGAGCATGCTTAACTCAAAGATTCTAGATTTCACAGGCGTAGAGAAAGACTGCAAGCATATATTCAAGAGTTGTAGAAGCCACTTTTGACATCTATGGTAACGCAGCTTGGCGTTGGCTGTTACACTTCTGAAGGCACTCATAGAACCACTTAGATACCACAACTTTTCCATTCATGGCACCGATTACCGACTGATTAAGTTAGATTTGAGGAGCCTGTCTCACAAAAAGATAATATCGTTTACATGTTCTCATGGTTTAATAGTCTTTCGCCAGGTAATATATCTATGGCGACACTACACAAGGTAATCTGGTGGCGTATTGAGCAAGTTACCGTTCAACTACAGGATTAGAGTCCAACAGTCTACACTTTCCAACCTCTGTCAACTCACTAGATAAAATGACCATCATGTAACATGTGCTATGTAATCGCCTATCTTTGTAATATTAGACAGAAGAGAACACGAAGATATCTTTTCGGCGATTTCATTTTCAAAAGCAGCTGTACAATCGCATTTAAATACATAATTTTACATGGATACAATTCTTGTTTGATTCCACATAATTACGACGGCGAATAAAAGGTGATAATTATTTTCAACTAGATGATATGGTTTACGAGAAGCTTAGAAAAAAAAATTACACACGATTAGAACGCATATCAAGTGTGTAAAAATGAGCATGGGAACAAAATTGAAATAATAATTTTCAACTTGAGATGGGAGTTAGGAGGTGTGAATATAGATTACAAGAACCTTAGAAACACAAAAATTGCACAGGATTAAGAAATAATTATAAAATAGTTAATTTTAAACAAATTATAAATGTGAACAGGAAAAGCATGGAAACAAACTTAAAATAACTGTTCCTATAACTGAAAAAAAATGGGATGAATCGAATGTAGACAGAGGGAGTAAGAATCACACACACAGCGAACGAGAAAAGATTAAAAAGAAAAAGAAAGAACGAAAGAGGAAAAAAACGGAAGCTAGGGGAATATACCGAACTAGGTTCATGGTAGTTGTAGAGGTTGGTCTAATTTTTTTTGAACACACAGCTCCGGTTTCTCGATGCATATTGCAAGGGCTTCTGCAGTACAGAGAAGTCGGAAACATACTGCTTTTTGTAGGTTTCTGTTGACTTTGTAAATTACTTTGAAAGAATCATTTTGGACGTTGTGGGAGTTGTTGATCAGATGTTCAATAATAGACTCAGTTAACTTCAGTGACGGCTATGACTTTTGGTGGTTAGTAGAATTATCGGCTTTGGGTTCGATCTCCAGAGCATATCCAGCGTTTAATAGTTTTAAGCTGAGAAGTATGAGTCACTCAATGATTCTTTAATCTTAGCAATCCTCAAGTTTGTGTTGACTTGTAACGAAAATATTTTGAAAATGACCCTTGTAAACCAATATAAAGTAGGTCTAACAATAACATCTTCATGTTGTTGCCACTACAACAAGAGAGATTTTGATTTAATCACTTTTGGCATACTTTATTCCTGAATCCTTTTGTTCCGAATAGAACAGAGTGCATCAACAGCACATCTCAATTTCACTCTGGCAGCTGTTGTCATCTCAAGTGGGCTCTAAAACTACCCACATGCTTTCATTTCATTCCCATATGACTTTATATATGTCACCCTCGGACACCTAACTCGTCACTTTCCATTCGGGTTCCATTTGAGGATATGGCTTGCGGTGTCACCTGCATATCTCCTCAGCGTATGCCTTTTTTTCTGCATATTTGTTCGACAATAAGTCCTTGGTTGTTTCATTGCTCTAAGGATCCCTGTTGTGTATCCTCTCTGGTCGGTCATCCGATCTTTAGTATTATTGAATGAAGTTGGGAGTCAATAAAAATCTAGAAGACATGAAGAGATTAGTTATCTTGGATCATAGATGCCTGCGTTCTATCTCCCATGTGAAGTGGTATAATAAGGTGAGCAATATTGAGCTTAGGCGTCGAGTGCTAGGTAAGGAGGGGAAATCAATCGACGAGGCTGCGAAATTACATCGACTGAGATTGTTAGGACATGTGCTACGTATGCCTAGTCATCGCCTTCCTCGACAATGGGCAATGTTAGCTGATATAGGGCCAGGCTGGAAAAGAGCTGGCGGTGGTCAAACGAAAACATGGCACCAGTCAATGAAATCTACAAGAGTCAGTCTAAGCCACGTAGGAAGGTGTAGACTCCCTGGTTGGGGTCCTCGGGACGGTTAAACCAATGGTTGGAAACAATTGGTGACATGGCTCAAAATCGTTCTCAATGGCTGGCGCAGATGCATCCACTTCTTGTGACTTATGATTTCCAATGAAACTGTTTTGTTCTTCGTTATTACTATTCCTTTGTCTCACACCTCTGTTTACTGTCTCTAATATGCATTTCTCCTACTTTCTTCTCTTGCTTTGTGTGCTACATGAAGGGAGTGTGGAGACTTGAACTGCCGCACACATGTACAAAGTTCTATGGCGAAAACAGACAGCGAAAAATCTGCAGTAGCCTCTTGGGAATACTTCCGGTGACGCATACGCCAATTCTTTAAACATTATATAAGCATCGACTTGACAGTATTATTGAAACTGCGGATCTTGTTCGTTGTCTTGCAGATTTCCACACTTATTTCAGGACTAATAATAAAGAATAAACTTTGTCACAAGCTGACGAAGTTGGAATTCACGGGTTATTAGATTCTAGCCCAACTGGATGAATAGTCAACGAGCTAGAGGTCCCTGGTTCAACTCCTGGTGGGCTGGTAGGTACACGCTGATGAAGAGTCTCAAAATAGAGCGAAACAGCTCTTCCAGGCTTCATGGTTTTCAACGATCCCTCTAATTGATGTTGATTCATGATGTAAATCCAACTGTCGAAATTGATCCCAAATTCCCCAGAAATCCTACATTCTGAATTGATGTCAACTAGCGATGGAAGTCATTCTCTTAAATGATTCATGCCTTAGAAAGCTGTTTACCTCACTCACTCACATTGAACTATTGTCTTAATCTCAATAATTATTAGTTAGTTAGTTACACGTGTTTGTTTTCTTTCTTTTTGTCAAGATTCGGTACAACAGTTATGAAATGGTCACCGTGTTCTATAAGAGATTTACCAGGTTTATTGAAATATGGTATGGGTGTTTGCCTACACGATATGCCAACACGTGGACGTGTATCGATCAATTCTTTTGTTGTGGATTCTAAAACTGCAACAAAAAATAAGAATAATCACAAAGACAGTAATAATTATTATTATCTTAATATGTCTGTTCCAAGTGTTGTACATATTTACGATTGGCAAAGTGAATCAAAGAGAAATCCTGTTAGCCGTGTATTAACGCCAGCTAGACAACGTCATTCTATTTCATCGTCGTCATCATCAGCAGCAGCATCGTCTAAGCAATATATGGATGGATTATGCGGAAATGGACAATTAGATCCTGGAGAAGAATGTGATTGTGGTAGTCAGTAAGTCGATTTTGATAATCTTTCCTAATTGTGTTCTGTTATGCAAATTAAGATTAACAAAACTGAATGTTGTCGTTGATAGTAGAGAACATTCTGTCATAGGGTACTTATCTGATATATATATATATATATATATATATATATATATATATATATATATATATATTATTCCTTTATTTCCTTAGTGGGTCATAGGGCTTCAAGCTTCTGTAGCAGTGCTATTTATTCTTACGGGATGTGGCTGCTAGCCTCATGCCCAACCTTCCTTCTTTACCAGTCTTATTGTAACGACAGAAGACAGGAGCCAGGCAACAGATCGTTTATTGAGAAAATCAAGCGATATTTGTAGATTTTTATGTGCATTATTATTAGCGTTATTGTTAGCAGAGAAGCAACGTCTTATGATTGGTTGTTTTCTTGTTGAAGTCTATTCTGTACTGCTTGTGACCGCTTCTTAGAAAGTTAGGCCATATATCTGCGAATCGTATTTACACACGTTAAGTCTGCTGTGGTTGGTTGTTGAGTTCCTCAAGGTTAAGCTTTGTTATTGTTTTTTTCTTATGACCCCGATTCGGGATGTAAACATTAAGGTAGATTGTTGTCTACAATTTTTGCTTGCGGACAGCTCTCACCACATTATTCCTGGCTTAGCTAGGTTAAGGAGTGCATCGGTGGCCGGGCATTCAACCTCTGTGCCACCGACGAACGTCGTACTTATCTGAGATAACTAGTTAATGACTGAAGCTAAATTGAAATTCTAGATATTAGCAAGATTTGAGTCGGCGGCATTAGAACTAATGATCTGGATCTGATCTAGATGCTCAGCTATGAGACACAAATGTTTAGGTAATCAGAAGAAGTGATTCAGCGAAGAGAGACTGTTCAACGAATTCGCTATCAAGCTGTACAATCTTACACCAACGTGAACTGTTGAACAATTGATTATATACTTTATAAAATACCTCAGGAAATGCATAAATCTCAAAGGAACTTATAGAAATAATAATATTAATGGACATGTAAGAGGTGAGAATTATGATAAGACAACAATAAAGGTGATAAGTGAAATAATACCAGAAACTGTTCAAAGTTGAAATTAATGGTAACAATCAAAATAGTCAAGGAAGCATATACAAACTGAATAAATAAAAGGAAAAGTAAGTGGAGTCAGAATATGAAGGGGGACTACAATACTTTAGCATAGATGGATTTAGACCATGGCAGAAGGAGTAGTTGAACGAACTGTTTCTGTATACAAAGTTCTGGTTTTCCTAATTTTGATGGTTCAAGCTTCAGCAGTACCGATGAGTTGCATACGTAATGATTCCGGCAGGTTATTTCTCGCCTTGTGTATATAAAGTGACTAGTATCGACCAGTTTTTCAATTATTGCGCTTCTTATAGCCCCACTTCCACCTCTTCGTAACCGCGCAGGATAGTGTTCTTGCATCGTCTTGTACAAGACGACTCCCCACTGTGTATTCAATTTGTATGCCCTTCCCCTATGTTGTCATTTGTTATTATTGATTTCGCTTTGAACAATTTCCCGTTTTATCTCACTTGTTACCTTTATTTGCGCAACACATTTCGAAAAATCTGATTTAATGAGACCACGAATTAGTAGAAGTTAGAATTCGTGGGCCATTGAATCGGGTGCCAGTGGCTGAATGGTATACGAGCTTGCCTTGTAACCGGAAGGTCCTGGGTTCGAACCCCAGTGCTTGCGTACTACCGATGACTCTCAAACTAGGATGAAACAGCTGGCTGTCCCGTACTCCCTGGTTTTCAATGGTTGTCTAACTGACATCTATCCGTAGTCAAACTCGTAAAAACAAATTTAATCCCTACAAACCAACTGTTGAAAATAGGAATATAAATGAAGTTAATAAAGAGTTAAGAGGTGAGAAAAATAGACTTAGGTCAGTAGAGTAGCAATGGAGGAGCTAGGTCGCCTGTTCTCACCACTAATGGGAACATATCATAGAGACAGGACATAAAATTGACGTTTACACATCTTTTAAACCTATCCATAAAACGAATTTGGGGCGTATCTTAAAGTTTGTGAAAGTCCTAGAGAACAATAAGGATTGAATAGATCTTGTTGTTCACAAAGGATGAGTACATTTCAGCTACGAGTAATCCCAGTCAACCAGTCTACACTTCTCTCTCTCGCGCTCCACCTGCGTGACCATGTTTCGGTTAGCTAGTAAGCGCTGGGTTGAAAATATTAAGCCTTAGAGACTATACTTAACTATACGACAAAATTCGGTTGTTGTTGTTGTTTAGGTTTTTTCTTCCTCAATGAACACATTACATCTGTTACATTCCAGACTTAAATGTGAAACAATGTCTGCACATCTGATAAATTCAGTTTATCGCACAATAACAATTTTATTATGGATATATAAATTTACACAAAGGGTAGATTGTAGGCTGTAGGTGTATTTTCGTGAATACAACGTATTATTATTATTGTCACCTGTTGACTTCTATTTCATCTGTATAACTACTTAACTTAATTTTTATGACAATTTCAATAATAGTAATAATAATTTGTAAAAAACCAAAACAAGAGTGAAGGTTATTCACTGAGGCAGTATTTAAAAATTGTTTTTTTCGCTGAATAAAATATATTATTATTATTATCATCAATGTTTTTAATGTTTGCACCATTTATGTTTTTGTCCCTATTCATCTAAGAACTTGGGCTAGTAACAAAACAAATTATATATATGGCATACCACAATTTGAATACAATCAGTTTATACTACCCTTTTATAACTTTTCACTGAATAAGTTTGTTATCCATATGATGTTTGTGAAATATTACTAATTTTTATCAAAAACGTAATAGTTCTCTTTGTTTTTTATTAAGTGTTGCTTTGCAAGGATGTGATTGGTCACAAGTTTAACCACAATTTGATGTCAGTTAGATAGCACTATTGGAAGTACTGAAAAACTGTTTCATCCCTGTTTGGAACTCTTCAGAAGTATGCATCTATGGGGTTTCGAATGCATGACCTTCTGTTTACAAGGCTAGTCAGCTCGTAGACCATTCATCAACACTGGGACCCAATGCAATGGCCAGTTCATAAGTTTTAACTTCTGCCAATTCATGACATATCGCCACCACTTCGCAATGTCTTCTTCGTACTGCGTACTGCTCAAGAGTCCATAACTAGGACGGAACAAATGTCCAGTACTCCCAGTTGGTTTTCCAATGATTCTCTAACTGATGTGAGCTCACGATAAAATCCTCCAACGAATCAAACAAAATCCCTACCATATACCAGTACTTGAAAATTGATCTAATGTTCACTAGCAACTGGCCCTATTCAGATGGTTACCTGAGGTTCTAGTGGGAAGCCGTGAACAGTAGGGTGCAGCAGGTAGTGTGTGAGGACAAATACTCTTCGAAAACATTGGCTAGCGGTCGCGCCATATCGTGAATTGTCAGAAGTTAGAATTCATGGACTGGCCATTGGATCAGGTCTCAGTGGCTGATGACGAGCTAGCTCACCTTGTAACCAGAGGGCCCTGGGTTCGAACCCTGTCCGTGGGTGCGAACTGATGAAGAGTCCCAAACTAGGCCGACCAAACAGCTGTCCGGTTCCCCCTGTAGATTTTTGACTGGTTCTCTAACTGATGTCACCTCATGACGAAATCCTCTAAGAAATCTAAATTTACTTGTGAATTCATTAAGTGACATTATTTGTTACCTACTAAGAGGATCCAGTGACATATTCAACCTACCTATCAAGGAGTTGATGCTTTTTCAGGGTATTAGATTGTGTAAATAAACTGAGAAACACTTTGTGAACAGAGTCATTTTGTATTTGAAAATCCATTTGGCACTCGTTTTTATAAATACTGACAATCACCTGGAGTGTTAACTTCCCAGGGTTGTCACATTATCAATAGACTGTACATTACATAACACCGTGCTACACTTTTTCGTTGTGTAGTGTTTAAATTCACACACACACACTCACTCTCTCTCTCTCTCTTTGAAACTTTGTATTTTAATATTGCAAGTGACTCTGTGTAAACAGATTCAATCGTATGTGTATTTATATGACTTCAAATACGACAGTTAGGAAGGAAGCAGAGTCATTAAAACTTTTAACTACACAAATAGCCAAATTGGTCACAGTGTGGCGAGTACTACTGATAAGATTTGTCAGTAGTATGTAAAAAGACGTTCATTGGCATAATAACATCAAACACCTGGGAGATACATTTGATGTCAGAGAACGTAAATGATACAGCGCTGTGGAGATACTTGGGAGACGTAAAAGGAACACGAAAAAACAATACGAAGGCCAGAATTTGCACAACACGAAGATCTGTGCAAATGGTGATTTGAAGATAAGGTATACATAATTTGGCTATATAGAGATACCGTTTTAGTATTACTTGTGACTTTTAAGATCGGAGTGATGAATGAAAACTGTTTCGAACTGTCTTAATCAACCAAAGGGTGGTAATCTGTTCATATCCTCGTGAAGAGTCGACTGCTTAATATTTAAGACCACGAGAGAGTAAAACGAAATACCTACGGAATGTTCCTTAGCCTTCACTAGTTCATTTCGCAACACTCTTACCAACAGAGTCTAATTAAATTTCCCAAAAACTGTCTAGTGTTTAGTAACAAATAATTTAAAATTTAGAATCCATAGGTCATTGTCCTTGCCTTGTAACCCTAAAGTCCGGGGTTCAATCTCCGAAAGGGTCATAAGTACGTTTTGCTGAAGTGTCCCAAACTAGTGTTAGTCACTGATGAAATCTGACTTAAAAATCGATCAAGTACCTACAAATCCATCCTTGACAATTCAAAATTAAACAAAATATAAGGTTACCAAATGCTGGTTTGCAGGGATTTGATTGGCTGCAGGTTCCATCACGAGTTATCATCAACCATTTATAGGTGTGTTCACCATGTCACACTGGCTGGCAGTTGCGCTACATATTTCGAGAATTGGCAGAGACTGGAATTCATGG